GCTAAAAGGTGAACAAAAGACTAACTGGTCAATACATGATGAATAACATCAGCTTATCAGCTTAATAAACACAAACTTAAATCGCATAAGAAAAACATTAGTACCTGCATTCCAAAGTAGATTTTTGATGTCTTTCTTCTTCCCAAATTTGTGTTGGAAATTGGCGAGCCAGTGTCGAATACACCATCTCCATCTCCACCCCCACTCGTCGGGAAAACCACCAACAGCATTCCTTATCCCCGCATGTCGATCGGATATAATCGTAATATCTTCCCGCTGTGTCACGTGTTCGTGCAGTTGGTCAAAGAACCAAGCCCAACTTAAGCTGTTCTCCCCTTCCACTAATGCAAATGCAAGCGGGAAAATCCGCCTGTTTCCATCAACGCCAGTGGCAATTAGAAGACAGCCTTTGTACTTCCCAGTAAGGAAAGTTCCGTCAACCTGAATAAAAATTTAGGATATAATTAGTATGAAATATACTAAACAACAAATAATACAACATTTAAAACCGGAGTCTAGTTGGTAAAATACCTGAATAACCGGTATGCAGAACCCAAAACCGTCAATACATGGTTTAAAAGCCCAAAAAAGACGATGGAACATCAGCTTATCTTGTACTCGAACTTGATCCTCAGTGTATACATTGTTGTATACTGGGACGAAAACAGTCCCAGGATTGGACTCCTCCATTGCTCCCATAAGTCTAGGGAGTAAAGCATACGAATCCTCCCAATCACCATACACCTCAGCCATGGCTTTCTGCTTACCATGCCATGCTTTTTTGTACCTTATCGTGTAAGAATGTCGATCCTTCACCTCTGCCATGATAGCTTTCACCTTGATATCTGGTTGTGCTTCTATAAGGTGCTTAATAGTTCTCCCAACCTTCTTTGCTTTTAGTTGCCTGTGATCTTGGGAAAGTATAGAAGAGGAGCATGTGTGGATCGTCTCAGCTTTGCGAATCACCCAAGCACCCTTTCTCTTCATATTTGCAGCCCGCAGTTGCCACGTACAACCCTCTGCATCATGCTTGCATATGACATGTAGTTGTTTACTGTCAGAATATTTTACCTTCCACTCGAAATTGCGCCTCAACGCCTCTTCTGTAAAAGCATCATGCACAGCGTCTTTCGATGGGAACGCCATACCCACCTCCAAATTGGCCGTCGGATTGTACACTGGCATAGGGACAAATTCGGGGGGATCATTCTGACTATGTAAAAATTGAGTTGGAACCTGTGTGTAATATGGCGTGGGTGCCTCACGAAATGCCGCCTCATCCTCGTTATCATCAGTATCTTCCTCCTCCTCGCTCACTGATCTCAAATCTTCCTCAGTATCCTCGTCGCTCGACTCGAATGGATAGCTCGGGCTAGAAGGATCAACATGACCACGATCACCAACATCGTCCTCTCGCTCATGTGAAGTACGCCCTGATCGAATGGTATTCTCGATTCCATACCACTCTGGCCCCCAAGCAGGCCATTGAACACCATCGGCCTCAACAAATGGGGCTGGTTTAGAAGGTTGCGAGTATTTGTCCCATCCTGCACTACTCGATCCACCGTAGTTGATTGAACCACCACCCTCCCCGTAACCTCCTATATAACCACCGCCTTGGTAGTTGCTCGAACTACCACCCCATTCGTACCCTCCTGCAAAACCATCATCATAAGAATACTAGTGAGAATGAGATTCACCGACCGCCTCGGTCTCAACATACACCTCTGCAAGCCGGACTTGGTTATCGCTTAGGAACTGTAACATCATCGTAACCGTGTCATCATCGTTTATGACAACTTCTTGGAACACGACCCCGCCAGCACTCATGTCTGGATACCGGTAAGTAATTTTGCCAAGTCTCGTCTGTCCGCTCGTACAAACCCTTTCTGCACAAAGATCACAGAGTTCTTGAAAATTGAATCGGGAATCAATTTTCAGCATAATGGATTCGCCGTCCTCATAATCAATGCCTATGTCAGAGTTTGTCACCCTTCCATTCCACCGAATAGTAAGATGAAACTTATTGAATTTACCCATATCTACAAATCGAGATTAAGTATCTATTAGCTTAAAGACAGTAAAATTAACCAAAATCATATTGTACAACTAATAGTATCCATCTCATAACTAACGAACATAAATTCAACTAACTAACAACAACATCATACTATAACTACTAAAAACATAATTAGACTATAATACGAAAAGTCTCAACATACCGAAAAATGTATGTTCTGTGTATTATGCTCGATTTTTGTTGCTGAAATTTGAAGAAGGGGGGAGTGGTTATGTTTTTACTTCTGCTGGAGGGTTGGTATTTATAGGAAAATCTGCCTATTATTCACCGTTTTTGTCAAAGACAAAAACGGTGAACACCATCACCGCGTTTGTGTCAAACGGTGAATAATAGGTAGGTGTGACCTAATTTTGACCTAACAGGGGTGGGAAACGTGGGAATACATCACCGCGTTAACCAAAAACGGTGAATGTATTCACCGTTGTCAACTAAAACGGTGATGTATTCACCGTCCTCTCCAAACGCGGTGAATACATCACCGTTTTAGATAAAGGCGGTGAATACGTCACCGTTTTTGTTTTAAACGGTGAAATATTCACCGTCTTTGACAAACGCGGTGATTACCTTCACTGCGTTTGTCAAACACGGTGAATGCCAAACATGTGTACTTTGGGAAATTTTTTTATAACTTATGTATTTTGGGAATTTTTTTTTTTTTAAGAACGTGTGTACAGTGGGATTTTTTCCAAAAAAATAGGGATGGTGATCGGCAGTGGCCTTAAGTAAGGATAGATTTTTTTGTTTAAGCCTTAAGGATTATAAGTGGTAGGTAAGTAATAGTGTAATGATTTATGTAAGGTGAGTCCGAATTTTTTTAACATCGTAAGAAAAATATAAATAACTTTTGTAGCGTCTCTGATGTGAGCCAAGTAATCTCGGTTGCGGGCCCAAATCGAAGACGGGAGGGGAGGGAGTTGGCGGGACATGTCTCTGATGCGAGCCAAGTAATATCGATTGCGGGGCCAAATCGAAGACGGGGAGGCGAGGGAGTTGGCGGGACAAGCAGCCGAGCGGGGCTTTTTGGCTGAAATTTCCCCAATCGTGGAATAGAGAAAGAGGACAGGGAAAAAGAGCAGAAGGCTCCCCGGTCGAAGGGTTAAAACCCCCAACTGGGGATCTGTAGGGTCCAACCGGGGATCGGACCTAGGTGACAGTAATTTGTGTTTTCTTAAGTTATTTTGATTGTTTAATTTTTCATACCTATATAAAGGCTGAAACTTGAGTTTTAGGGCTAGTTTTGGAAAATATTGATTTTTATCTTAGTTTTGATCTTTAGGCTTAAACTCTTTCTCTGTACCAATCAAGTTTTCACCTTGATTGTGGTCGAGATTTTACTAAAACCCATATCCACATAAGAAACGGGTATGAAATCAAAACCACGTCTGTACCCATTCAGGTTTCAGGTATCCACGATTATCCATGGATAATAATTTATCTTTATAACTCCAACCAATATGTTAATATTCACACGTTTACTCACATTACAAAAGAGAATAAATACATAAAAATATTTTATTTATATGCTAAAAATTAAATATGTTAGAGAAAAAATAATGATTATTTATAGACAAAACACATATGCATGTAGGGCTGGAAGTTTGGTACCGGTATTTGGGATATAGCGAATACCGTACCGAATTTGTCTATATTTGGTATTACAGAATACACATATTATTTCTTCGAATTGGGATTGGGATTGAATTTCAATTGTTATTCGGTATTAGGGATTACGGAATTGGGATTGGCATATACCGAAATACCAATTAATACCGAAATATAAGCTAGTGTGTATTTTATCCTCTCAACTAGGCTCTCTCATTCACTACTACACGACCCTCAACCACCAAGAGTGTCATTTAATTATACATAGATCATTCCATCACTAATAATAGTCGTCTCTCAACGTAGAATTCGTCAAATTAACGATTACCAATAACAAGAACTTGAGATGTCTACACTCCTCCATTCTCCTTAATAATATCCTAATTCAAGAATCTTTGCTTAGTCTTTTCCCCCTAAATTAAACAATAAAATTTAATTTATATATTTAATTAGTAATTACAAAGGTAATTAATTTTGTATTTGATAATATCGATTGGGATACCGAAGTACCGATTGGGATACCGTAATATTTAGGGATTGGGATTGAGATACCGAAATTATTTAGTGATTTGGATTGGGATTGACTTTAGGGTGTAATTCGGTATTCGGGATTTCGATATTTGGTATTGGGATACCGATACCGTACCGATTTCCACCCCTATATGCATGTGTATAATCGGGCGGTTTCGGGTTGGATAGTGAGAAAATTATGCCCATCCATTACCCGCAATATTCAGGTTCGGGTTTTACCCGTACCCATTGAAAGTATCTCGAATTGGAATTTTACCCTATCCAATTAAGTCGGATTCGAACATCCACAATTACATATATTTTTGCCCACCCTAGTACTAGAGTCACTGATTTGATATTTGATAGGGTTTCACAATTCGTGGTTTGACAGTATTGGATTTCTTTCTCTTGTGCAAGTGAGAGAGAAGTGGGCATCTTTTAAAGTCAATGCTTATCACTTCCACGAGGACAAGTATTATGGTAACTTCAATCCATATTTAAATCATCTCAGAAAAGTGGTTCGTATTGAAGTTTGGATCGGACCGAGTATAATATGATCCGCTATTTGGTCCCATGAATTATACAATTACTGAAAAAATTATGGACCGAACTAATATTTGGATCATACCGAACCAATTAGACCGAATGCAATGATGATCTGATCCTTGATCTTAAGATGCCTTTCGCTAATAAACTGTGATTCTCATGAGTTTGATTCGGAGCGGACTGAACCGTTTCACACCCCTAGGCTCTAGCAACAAGTAGTTAATAAAAATACCAAAGTGGGCATCAAGTGAAAGAGTCGTGGCAAATGGCAATCATCAAATTCATGAAAACATAAATCTGATGCCTACATTGCCCAAATAGTGTAATGTGTAAAAATCACATAAACGGCTATGTCAACTAAACTACATGGTACAAGTGGCGGAGCAAGAGAGGAAGATTATTTCTTCACTAAACTACATTGTGCTATGTATGACCTACATATACTCTTAAACACTAGAGCTTTTTTCCACCCACAATCACTTGATCTTGCCTCCTACTTACCCTTCTAAATCCATACCCCTGGGACCTCAGTCCTATCTGCCTGCTGCCAAAGCATGGACAGGAGATTTTATGCAAAGGCAGGAAGGAAGCACGAATAGAAATGATTAGTGAGCGAAGGATGCCGCCTACGATTTTCATATGTCCATGATTGATTCACTAAGTTGATGTGTGTTTTGGTGAAAGACTAGATAGATGTCAGTGTTGATTTGGTGAAAGACTAGATAGATGTCAGTGTTGATCAAGCACAAGAATTTGAAGTCCACATCGTAAGTGGTCATATTTGAAAAAGTACCTCCCCAATAATGAAGATCAGCTGTAGGCTGTAGCTCAGAGCTCTCTCTGAAAGTGCTGAAAGAGCTGATATCTTATGGATGACATACCCATCGTTGTTTTGACCACAACAACAAAAGAGAAGAAAGCTAATAGCAGCTGCTGGATGGGTGTTTTCAGTCTTTGAAATGCCATTCCCCACGGCACATAGGGCAGTGCGCTTGAGAAGTCTGCGAGTTGACCCATTTCAGAATGCAATGGAGATGGAAGGCATGGTTGCATTGACCCCAAACTGAAAAGGCAATGCGTGAAACATGGGGTTGGATAAAGACGATAACCCAGCTTTTAGAAACCCAATGTTATCTAAAAGTAAATTGAGACCTATGTTCTTCGAATGAAAACTTACTCAGTGGGCAATCATCGCCAGGGAGCTTGCAGTCTGGACAACAACCATCAAAGGCCATCCTGCAAATCCCGCAGGTTTCATCTTTTGCATCCCAGGTCCACGAAGCAACAGCATGCCATCTGGGATACCAAAGAGAAAACAAGGTTATAGCTCACCATAATAAACATAAGTAGCCAATAGTCAAGAGAGTTCAATTCCGTATCCACAGTGAATCCAAAGACACACAAGGTTGAGTGCCCGGGATGTATCAGATAAATAAACATGATTCCCTAAGCACCAAAATGAAAGGTCAAGGGGAAAACAAAGACATACTCTGTTGTAGATCCCGGGCGGAAGAAGTTCAAGAGGGGAATCAGTCAAGGAAACTATTTACTAAGAACTCCTGCAAGGTTTAGTCTCTAGAGATATCAATTGAAATCTTCCGTAACATCGACAAGCAGAAATGAACTGCATTAGGTCAATATGACACATTCAAGCATTGGGAAATAGGACTTGAGAGGGTGGGCAGTAAATCAACGAAAAGAAGTCGAGAATGGAAAGAAAGTTCCGAGGATACGGAGAAGCTTCACTTTCATTCTTGTCCCCTGCAAAGCATTCAGAACAACAGGTGAAATAGCTGATATAGTCAAGACATAGAACACCAAGATTCTTCATCTTTCTTAAAAGAGGGCTTCTTTGCTAATGGAATTCGATAGAGAACCCTAAATTCCTAAAATTTCACACCTCACAAACTACAAGTCGATTCCAAGAAGGAACTTCAATATCGTTTTGATCGAGCTTTCTGAGAAAAACCTAATTGGAAAGTGAGCGGAGATTTCTGATGGCCCAAATTCATAACGCTGCGAGAATTGGAATCAACAACAGAGCAGGTACAGAATGCATTCTTACCGGAATGGAAAGCTGAACGGAGATGGAAACCAGATCCGAGTGACGCTGACGGCAACGATCTAGCAAGCGGCGGAGGCTGAGAAGCGGGAATTGGCCGCCGACGGAGGATTGAGCAGATTGTTTTGGCGCTATAGAATTTCTAAGTTGGGGCCAATTTCGATTGGCGGAATATAGGAATATAGGAAACCAAATGAATGGGCCAATTGGGCTTTACCAAAACTCTTGGTTTCACTTGGGCCATCTCCCGTTGGTAGCCCAAGAAGATTGTATTTCATGTCCATATTTCACCACTCTGGAAGTGATTTGAAGAATTTTTTCTTACAGAGATTTGAAGAAATTTTCTAGAGAAATTTGGAGAAGTTCATTATTTGGTCATTGTGATTTTTTAATGTTAACTAAATATAAAAATAAAAATTATTATTTTATATTAAATGACATATTTATTCTTAATAAAAATAATAAAACAGTTTGAAAAATATTAAAACTTTATTGATATAGATATATAATTGGGTAAATAAAAAAAGGAGAGATAAAGTATGAGAAAAAAATTATAAAATCAAGATATAGAATATTTCTGATTATGAGTAATTTTATATTCATAGATTTTTTAGATTTGAAATCTCTAAAGTTAAAATCTACAATACAAAAAGAAACAAACAAAAACATAAATTTCTATAAAATCTTACCGATATCCTTTTCTCCAAACCCGAACTTGTTGGAAGTAGATAGAATTCATACTTAAAACAACAAAAATTTACGCCATGTTCGGAGGTTCAGATTCTTTAAATTGATTCTTCCATTGAATTATTATATTCTTAATGTGTATCGGTTAAATACATATATTTGAAAAGTACTGGAGGTTGAAATTCTAGCTTTACGTATAGTAAAAAAGCATAGAAGACTCGAGCATTGATACTATGGTACCAAAATGTTCCAAGTTACCTCATATCTGGTTATACTATTGCCAAGAAATCACTTCCCCATGCATACTTACCGCTTAGAGTAAGTTCAGACGTTCAGTGTAGCATGTCCCAAAAATAATGTGCACGTAACGTGACTACTTATTTAGTGTAATTGTGATATGTTTGAATTTTCTAGAATGATGTTTTGTGTATGGATAATTTGTATGGGGAAATTTATGTTTGAATTTTATTTTAATAGGAACTTGTTATTGTAAATTTCTTACTATAAAAATTCCATGGGTACCCAAGAACCCACGGATACCCAGCGAATTAGGTTTGAGTTTTTCAAACCCAGTGCCCCGAATTTTTTTTACGGATAAACCCATTAATTTGGGTTTAGATTTGACAAAACCCGACCCATTGTCATCCTAGGTGAGATTCCTCTATTGGTTTCTTTTCTTTCATTTTACTAATTCTAAATTAATATCAAACATAAAAGGTTAATGGTGTTGCTTGTGCCCTAATAAATATGTGTATCTTCCCTTTTCTCCATTCCTCCCTTTTCTCTCTCGTGTAGATGAGGAAGAAGAAATCATTGTTGTTCTTTTGTTCAACAAATGAATAGCTTGGTGATGGCAATGGGTCGGATTTTGTCCAACCAAAATTCAAATCTATGGGTTTATTCGTGAAAAAACTCGAGGTAAAACTCATTGAGTTTGGAAAATTCAAATCCAATCCAACTCGTTGGGTATTCGCGGGTTCGTGGGTACCCATGGGTTTTTGTTGTAAAAAATTTACAATATCAAGTTCCTATCAAAATAAAAGTCAAATATCAATCTCTCATTACAAATTATTCATATCTAAAACACCATTCTAAAAAATTCAAGCAAATCACAAATTAATCATACACATTGTTCAACGCCAATCTAGAAAACTCAAGAAAATTGAAGCAAATCACAAATTATGTATAAACAATATGATTAATTGAAAGCTTCTTCCTATTTGTCAATTAAGCGTCTTTACTCTCCACTCGATAATATCAACTTCATTCTACACAATTATAAAGAAAATATTAGACATGTCTCCACAAAAGTAAAGAAGATTAGTTGCTTAGAATATTAAATATACCTAAACCCAAACCCAAACCCAACCCGATGAATAGTGAACTAGTTTAAACCCTAACCCGCACCAAAACTCATCAACCTGGGTTTTACCTACGTTGACCGAATTACGTCAGGTAGGATACTCGTGCGTTCGAGTTTTGTTGTCATCCCTATAGTGCGCATCATGCTCCATGGAGCTTAATTGATTGTTAACTTATTATATGATAACTTATTATATGACAATGATTTAGAGAACTTAATCATCATTTTGCAAAATAATAAACATTTAACAAAAAATGTAATTTATCTCTCATGTAAAGAATCAATGGAAATTTTATATAGGGGCGTCCTTCTCAAAAATTAAATGATAATAAAAATTATTAAATAATAAAATATCTTACTATTACAAGTTACAACAAAAGTCCACGACGTGTTATCATATTTCAATAAAAAATATAAAATACTCAATGTCTAACGTGCTTAACAAATCTCTTTCTGTATATCCTACTAGAGAATCATTCACGAACTGATCATATAATCGATTCCGAAACTTGTTCTTAAAGTAACCCAAAGTTGAAAAAGCTCTCTCAACACTTGGAGTTGCAACCGGTAAAATCAATACAACTTTGAGTAACAAATAGACTCATGGATATGATAGATTCAATTTTGTCTCCACTATCAACTCAGCTAACTCATCATCTGTTTTTAATCAACAAAATAACTCTTCATTTTTAACACAAAGATAATAATTCTCAAAATCCTATAGAAGAACCAGAAAGATGATCAAACTCTTCGTTATAAAATAGAGTGTTAAATAACAGTGGAAATAAGTGGTAGTTCGTGGGTTTAATTTTGGGCATTTGAAAAAATTGAGGATACTAGCTACACGTTTATAATGATATTTATGAAAAAATTACAACAACAAATAAAGTGCTAGGGGTGTTCAAATTTACAACAAATACTACATTCTCTCAAATTTTAGGGGTGTCTACTCCTAGTCGTAGGAGCTAGGGGAGTTCAAATGGTTACCATGGTAATTACCAAACCAAATAAGACTAAATTCTATTAACCATGAAATACAATATCATAACCAAACCGTCCAAACTAATAAAATAACCAAATTAACCAAAGTAAAGTTTAATCGGTTTGGTTAATTATTTTGTTTAAACAGGCTCGGCCCTAAGGATGTGTCGGCAGGACCTCCGGCACAGGGCCTCCAAATTATAGGGGCCTTCAGAACTCCATTATGTATATGACTAATTATTATTACGAATTATTAGATTTCGATTATGAATTTAAAATGATAAAAGATTTATGAATTGAGTTTGATCATGGGCCTAAACAATAATATTAAAAATTTTAATATGAAGGCTAAAGGAACGAACGAATCACATGAGTGGAATACATGGTTTCTTAATAAACCTTTATTCAAACCATATAACATAATTCATTCTTTGTCTTGTGTTCATAAGTAGAATAAAAGAGGTAAGATTGTTGATGCCTCACTATTAGCATTATTACGTTGTTTTGCTTTAACTTTCTTCATCTTCACTTTACGAAGAATAAAAAATATTCAATTTCTTCAATTAATCTGCTTGTACTAGCAAGACAGTAATGCTAAATTAATTAAATAATGTGTATTAATTTTTTAAACGTTAACAAGAATAATTACAAGCCACCAATAGTAGAAAAGGAAAAAATAACTAAATAAATTATAAATAGTTTATAGCATACTTAACTTTAGACCAAAAAATTATGAATTTCTCATATCTAATTTAGTTTACTCTATTATTTTTTATACTGTATGATTCATCTAAAATTATTTTCATCTTCTACTCAATTAAATTCTCTTAACTTATTCAGGTGAGTCGAATTGATTGATTCATTGTCAATTCAGATACTATTTGGATTCTTTGGTTTGATTTTTTTTATTTAATCTATCAAATAACCAATTTCTTAATTACATTATTCTATTTATTTGTCACTCTTTATTTCAAATCATATTAGATAGATATTATTTTTAAACAATTATTTAATTTTTATTTATTGGTTGATGCTTTGTTTATATTTTTATTATATTTTTTAAGAAACAATTTGGGCCACATCTTGTTTACAGAACAGGGTCTCCAAAATCTCAGGACTAACCCTGCGTTTAAAGGGACAGTTACTCGTGGCGGGCATTGAGGGAATACTACTACTAGGATTTAAGCTCGATTGATTAGGCCTATTAGATTATGAAAATTTTATGTGACTAGAAAATATTTATATAGCATCTTCTTTAGTGCCTTTTTGGAAATTGGAATAGGATTTTACAAAGGGTGATCTTGTAAATCAAACCAACGAAATCATGTAAAAGGACACAATACATACGATTTATATGGTTTTCATGTTCGATATGAACAGGACTACTCCATTGAGAACTACAATGTCTCAGACAATATTATTATGATCTCCCAAAACCGTACACTATACACATGATCGTACAACATATATATACTCATACAACTTATTATAACCCTAGCGAATTATTACACTAATTAAAATAATATCCCATAAGGTTATTATATTTAAAAGCCTCCCAAAATTGATGGTCGGTTCGCTCTATCAATTTGCCAGACAAATATCAATGACAAGAAGATTATCCACCTTAGTTAAAAAGTTAGCAGATCTGGTCTTTGAGGGAGATGTACTAGAGCTTAAGACACCCGTCAGGAACAAGTTCCCGGATGAAATGCACATGTACCTCGATGTGCTTTGTATGGTCATGTAAAACATGATTATTGTCAATTTGAATAGCACATATATTATCACCATAGAGACGCATATGAAGCGAGACACAGTCAATCTCATCAAGCAAAAGTCAAAGACATAGCAATTTCAAACGACCTTACACATAGAACAATACTCAGCTTTCATATTATGTTCCATAGGTGTAGAACAAGGAAGGCACTTAGGAAACTGGAATCGCTCCAACAAAATGATGATATACTTCTGTTGAGTGAGAAGTATATCGTTGGGGTTACGTTGCACCTCTAACCCCGTGAAATAGGATATGTCAGCAAGATCCTTAATATTAAAATATGTTCGAACATAGGTAGTAAGATCCTAGATGCCTTCGTAATCGTTGTCGATGACAATCATGTCATCAGC